GATATGGTGAGAGAAAGGGGTGGCAGATGAAAAGATATAAATGAAAATTCATTTTCACCCCCAAGGAAATGATTCCCTAAAACAAATAGTACATCCATAAATACTCTGTTATAGAGACAATTTATAGGCTAGATGGGAGTGTGTGAGAAAACTTCTAAAGGGGTGGCGTATCAAAAAAATAAAGATTCTTTTTCACCACCAAAAAAATGAATTGTATCTAAAAAATACTTTATTATAGAGACAATTAATAAGCCACGTCATATGTTGAGAAAAAGGGGTGGCAGATGAAAAAATATAAATGAAAATTCATTTTCACCCCCAAGGAAATGATTCCCCAAGACGAATTGTAGCTTTAATTATATAGACAATTTATGGGCTAGGTGACTTAATATGAGAAAGCTTCTGGATGGATGGCGCATACAAAAATATATAAAAAAAATTTTCACCCCCAGGGAAACGTTATTCCAAAACAAGCTGCACCTCGAAGAAGTATCCTATTATAGAGATCATTTATTTATATATAATAAATTAGAAGAACTGCGAATTTCAAGATCATCCGTACCACAATCAATGTAGGATTAAGATTTATTTAGAATTCAGTTAATTTCGAATATGAGGCTTTTATACGAGGGCGGTTCAATAAGTACCCGTGTTTGACGACAGAGGGCGTTCCCGAGAGAAGTTAAAGTTATCATTGAGTGCTGCCATCTGTCAAACGACGGCACAACAAATTTCAGACTGATTGATAGGTTAGTTTGGATTTGGCAGCCATTCGAATAGCACGTGTTTCGTGATTTTCGCTAAAATGGAAAAAGGGCAGTATCGTTCGGTAATTCGCTTTTTGCTTTTGGTTGGGAGAAAATGCGAGGAGATAAAAGCAAAGTTGGATGCTGTTTATGGGGGCACTTCGCCATCTATGACCACAGTTAGATATTGGTTCAACGAATTTAAACGCGGGTGAATATCCGTTTTATGATGAGGATCGACCACGACGCCCGACAGACGTGGTTACCGAGGAAATGTTTCAAAAAGCCCACGACATGATTCTCGCTGATCGACGAACGAAAGTGCGCGAAGTAGCAGAGGCCGTAGGTGTGTCCACCGGAACGGAATCAATATTTTACATGATAAGAGTTTTTGCGACGAGTTGTCACCGTGTATGAAACCTGGATTCATCATTACACACCAGAAACTAAGCAGCAATCAAAACAATGGAGTTTTCCCGGTGAATCTGCTCCAAAGAAGACGAAGACGGTCCCATCGGCCGGAAAGGTCATGGCGACGTTTTTTTTGGGATGCGAACCGCGTGTATTTTTTAGAAAAAAAGGAAGAACGATCACTGGACAATACTATAGTGAGTAATTGGACCGCTTCGACAAAGAATTGAAGGAAACACGGCCACATTTGACGAAAAAGAAGGTCCTGTTTCACCACGATAACGCACCAGCACATTCATCCGGAGTTGTCGCCGCCAATCAGCATGAATTGCGTTATGAAGTGCTGCCGCACCCCCCGTATTCACCCGATCTGCCCCCCTGCGACTTTTTCTGGTTCCTTAACATGAAGAAATGGCTCGCGGGGAAAAAATAGCTCAAACGATGAAGTCATCGCCGAGACGTAGCGTCACCATCGAGAGGACAAGGCCTGACAAAAGTCGCGTGACGTCACTACGAATAGGTCGGCCGGCCGAAAGCACGTCGTGCCTTACATCAGCGCTAATGAATAATAAATGATTATTGCAGCATATTTAACACACTCTACTTGATGTAATTGACGGATAATTCAGAAATGTGTTTTTGGAATATGAAGGCAACTTGATGGAAAATATTAAAGTAGTTATTAACTATACTAAGTGACATATAAATCCGAACACCCAGTTTAAATGGTTTTATTTTGATGAAAGTTGGTGAATGTATTTATCTTACTGTAAATCACAAGTGAAAAAATTTTCAGCCTTATTAGCTGGACATTCCGGTTTTTATACCGCTTTTTTTTAATTCACTAACGCTCTAAAAATGAATATTTCAGCCGCAGTAAAGAATCAACGTTGGCGGATTTTGGTTCTTGACATCCTTTACGATCGGTTACGATGCCTAGAGTACGGAGACCTGTACGATTTCGTCAACTTAGTGAGTTTGATAGGGGCTGTATAGTGGGACTTCGGGAAGCTGGACTTTCTTTTCGGGCAATTGTAGTTAGAGTGCAAAGAAGTGTAGACACTGTGGTTAGGTGTTGTCAGGCATGAGTGGTGCAGACAACGGTCACTCTGGGATCAGGAATGGAACAGTATTGTCTTTAGTGACGAGTCTCGATTTTGTTTAGGCATGCACGATGGTCGTGCCAGGGTTAGAAGGCGACGTGGTGAAAGGAGGAATCCACAGTTTTTTGTTGAAATACATGTTCATCACACTGTTGGAGTTATGGTTTGGGGTGCTATAGCTTATGGTTCCAGGTCACCTTTAATCTTCATCAGAGGTAACATGAACGCGCAGCGTTATATTCACGAAATTCTAGAACCCCATCTTTTACCCTATCTTGACACCCTGGCAGATCCAACTTTCCAACAAGATAATGCCCGACCACATGTTGCAAGAGTCACAATAGACTTCTTTCAACGTAATGATGTCACATTGTTACCATGGCCACCAAGATCTTCCGACTTATCCCCGATTGAGCACGTGTGGGATATGATGGGTAGGAGATTGCTCAATTTGCAACGTCCTCCTCAGACTCTAGAAGCACTTCGAGAGGAGTTGGTGGTTGCCTGGAATGAGATACCACAGGAGGACATTGACCACCTGATCAGAAGCATGCCTAGGCGCGTTGGAGAATGCGTAGCACATCAGGGTGCATCCACACATTATTAAAGGTCAAAGGGCTTTAAAGCAGTGCAATCATTTTGAAATGTTTATCATTTACTTATTATGCTTCATTAAGTACTTATACAAAATTTAATTGAAATAAAACCATTTAAACTGGGTGTTCGGATTTATATGTCACTTAGTATATTTTCACGCTGATTTCCGCTGTTTCAACATTAGGTGCACATTTAAGTTATGAGTTGATGACTTAGGGTAACAATTGCGAGACATAAATATAAGTTAAAAACAACAATAATAAACATAAATATTCGTACAGAATTTGAGGTTAGCTGCTATGTTGCCACATATTCCATTTTTGCAGACACGTTAGAGTTCACACGTGACAGATTGAACCTAATATCGACACTGTATTCTTGACAAACTGCGGCCGATCAGAAAGAATAATCAGATCATCATTGAAGCTGCGCAGCCCCGAAATTCGCCCACGGAGAGGTATAACTAATTAGTAGAGATTTCGATACTGTTATATCATACCTAGATGTGTTAACACCGCTCTTACCAGCCGGTACGGCGAAACGCCATAAGAATATGAACCGGCCTACTTAGCGTGACGTCACAGCCTTTTCGCAGCTGAGTTGTTTGGCCTTGTTATGACGGGGGTAACGGACAGAGGCGTATTTTGAAGAGTTCGACTCATCCTATTTTTGGGAGGGGTTAAAAAACGGCAGGAACGTTGGGAAAAGTGTAGCTTTCTACAAGGGAATTATATTGAAAATTAAAGTTTTTTTGTGGAAAAAATGGGGTCTTCATTTCTAACACGGGTACTTATCGAACCGACCTCGTATACTAGCGGGTTGGGTCCAGGATTATTTAACGGGTGATTTTTTAAGAGGTATAGGATTTGATTTTCACAAAAATTTGAAAAAACGATTAAATTTGTAGACATTAGCCTTAACATGGCCCCACAAGAAATAGTCCAACGGCGTTAAATCACACGATCTAGGCGGCCAATTGACGGGCCCCAAACGTGAGATAAACTGTTCACCGAAATCGCCTCTCAATAGGGCCATTGTTTCGTGTGCGGTGTGGCATGTGGCACCGTCTTGTTGAAACCACATGTCAGTCAAGTCCAGCTCTTCCATTTTGGGCAAAAAAAAGGTTGTTATCATCGCACGGTAGCGCTCGCCATTCACAGTTACGTTCCGGCCATTGTCGTCTTTGAAGAAGTACGGCCCGATGATGCCACCGGCCCATAATCCATACCAAACAGTGATTTTTTCGGGATGCATTGGTAGCTCTTCCAATGCTTCTGGCTGGTCTTCACTCCAGATACGGCAATTTTACTTGTTAACGTACCATTCAACCAGAAATGAGCTTCGTCGCTGAAGACAATTTTTCGATAAAAATTGGAAACGTTGTGGAAGGTCGTGTGGCTTCAATTCTTGCACTAGCTGTATCTTATAAGGTTTTACACCCAAATCCTGTCGCAAAATTTTCCACGTAGTGGAGTAACAGAGGCCCAATTGCTGCGAACGGCGGCGAATCGACATTTCAAGGTCATCACTAACACTGGCGGATACAGCCGCAATATTTTCTTCAGTCCTCACTCTACGTCTGCGCGTTGGTGGTTTAATGTCCAATACTGTAAACTGGGTTCGAAATTTAGTCACAAGCTTCCGAATAGCTCCCTCAGTAGGCCGACCAAATTGCCCATAAAGTGGAAGCAGTGCACGATGCACTCTCTTAACCGAGCATGAATTTCGATAGTAAAATTCAATAATTTGCAGGCGTTGTTGGTTCGTAAGTCGATTCGTGGTTAAATTATAGACCAAACTGAATAAGTTTGACAATGACTCGTGACACGATTCGCGCGTCATCTGTCAAAAACAGTGTTGCCAAAAAGATACTAGCAAAAAATCAACAGTCATTGACGTGATAGCAAGAGAGTATTTTTAAAACCGCATTAAAGTGTTTATACCGGAAAAGTCAAATGAAAATTTCAATCAAATCCTACTCAACTGGAAGATTGGCACATAAGAGAATTTTGATCGTAAAAGATCATCCTGCATAAATCCCCGTGAATATACGTTTCAACATTTTGAAAAATGTTTTTGCTAGTATAAAAACTCGATAAAATCCGGGATGAACCTCCCATTTTGACTAGAAACAAATAAAAGTTCACGGCGCCGTACATTTTTCCATACAATACATGTCTCCTAACAACTGCGTAAGCGGTATATCTCCAACGGTTTCCCTAAAAAACAGAAGCTCAACGGTGATTGGCCGGATGGCCCTCAGACTGGGCACCAACAGTAGCAATCGGCCGAATCTAGTAGGCTGTCTAGGGTATCTCGCTCTCACGTAGTCGCCCAGGATGCATTGAGCTTGATCCTGCAGCATTTCTACCGGTTGGACGTCGCACAGTCCGGGAGTTTCTACAGAAAATAAACATCCAGCTTAGCAAGTAGATAAGGTATACAAAGTGTTTTCACAGTTTTAACAGCTTGTAGTTAAAAATTATTTAAAAAAAATCACTATCAAATTAAATGGATACCGTTCTTACAAAAAAAAAATCCTGGTGTCCTTGAATTAAGTTACAAGTACTTTCAGTGTACTGTGGAAGTTCTTCCAGAATATTTACTGCTCCATCATGATTCATCAACTATTTCAAATAGCCTCATAGAGAAAAACCGCAAGGTGTTAAATCCGGGGAGAGAGCAGGTCAAAATTCGGAAACTCATTATTTAGATGTTCATGAGCTTCTCGTCCAAAATGTGGTGGAGCCCCGTCATGTAGGAACCGCATATTTTGTCTCATATTCAGAGGGACATCTTGTAATATACTAAGTGACATATACATCCGAACACCCAGTTTAAATGGTTTTATTTTATTAAAAGTTGGTGAATGTATTTATCTTACTGTAAATAACAAGTGAAAAAATTTTCAGCCTTATCAGTTGGACATTCCGGTTTTTATACTGCTTTTTTTATTCTCTAACGCTCTAAAAATGAATATTTCAGCCGCAGTAAAGAATCAACGTTGGCGGATTTTGGTTCTTGACATCCTTTACGATCGGTTACGATGCCTAGAGTACGGAGACCTGTACGATTTCGTCAACTTAGTGAGTTTGATAGGGGCCGTAAAGTGGGACTTCGGGAAGCTGGACTTTCTTTTCGGGCAATTGCAGTTAGAGTGCAAAGAAGTGTAGATACTGTGGTTAGGTGTTGTCAGGCATGGCTTCGAGAAGGCCGTACGCAAAGAGCAAGGGGCACTGGACGCCGCCGTAGAACAACAGACCGTGAAGATCGCCGCCTAAGATTATTGGCCTTAAGGGACCGTTTCTCCACTACCAGGTCCATTGCAAATGAATGGTTTGCAGAACACGGAAGATCTATTGGCATGCGAAGTGTTTACCGACGAATGAGAAGTTTTGGCTTGTTTTCATACCGGCCACACTGGGTCCTCCCTTTAACTCGAGAACACCGACGTAATCGCCTTGAGTGGTGCAGACAACGGTCACTCTGGGATCAGGAATGGAACAGTATTGTCTTTAGTAACGAGTCTCGATTTTGTTTAGGCATGCACGATGGTCGTCCCAGGGTTAGAAGGCGACGTGGTGAAAGGAGGAATCCACAGTTTTTTGTTGAAAGACATGTTCATCACACTGTTGGAGTTATGGTTTGGGGTGCTATAGCTTATGGTTCCAGGTCACCTTTAATCTTCATCAGAGGTAACATGAACGCGCAGCGTTATATCCACGAAGTTCTAGAACCCCATCGTTTACCCTATCTTGACACCCTGGCAGATCCAACTTTCCAACAAGATAATGCCCGACCACATGTTGCAAGAGTCACAATAGACTTCTTTCAACATAATGATATCACATTGTTACCATGGCCACCAAGATCTCCCGACTTATCCCCAATTGAGCACGTGTGGGATATGATGGGTAGGAGATTGCTCAATTTGCAACGTCCTCCTCAGCCTCTAGAAGCACTTCGAGAGGAGTTGGTGGTTGCCTGGAATGAGATATCACAGGAGGCCATTGACCACCTGATCAGAAGCATACCTAGGCGCGTTGGAGAATGCGTAGCACATCAGGGTGCATCTACACATTATTAAAGGTCAAAGGGCTTTAAAGCAGTGCAATCATTTTGAAATTTTTATCATTTACTTATTATGCTTCATTAAGTACTTATACAAAATTTTATTGAAATAAAACCATTTAAACTGGGTGTTCGGATTTATATGTCACTTAGTATATATTTCCTGCAAATTCGAAATTAGATCTTTCTAAATGTTCATCAATTGTAACGCCACGTTCATCCAAATGAGACCCAAAATGGTCATGAGGCAATATTAAACCAGCCAGTTCCCGACTAAGAGGAGCCATTCTGCGCTATACTCTGTTATACGCACTTCTAGGTACAAATAAGTAAAAAGTTGAATGAAAATAATATTATAATGTGTCTGATTATGTCATATGTTGAATGACTTATGAAATACAAAACCCACATAAATATATATGAATATTTGTAATAATATGTGCTTATTTATGATTGATTATTCACTAAAAAAATTTCTTATACGAATTTATTTATTTCCTGGCAGACCTAAATTTTATTATAATTTTCCTAATGGCTCATTGCTTAAAAAATTTAAGTGGAAAAGTTTAGATCATAGTCATAAATCATATTTTCTTCGTATCTCAATTCTTTACACAGAGTGAAATATTTTATACTTACATCAAAAATGGAAAAAATCATGTAAATATAATTGCGTGTTTTGAGATTAAATGACTTCATCAAAAATGTTAAAAACACTTTTTTTTGCGAGAATTTAAAAAATTTTCGGAGTAGACTACTTTGTTAAAAAAAGGCCTCGCAAAAATGTTTTGCTGCAGGCTTCGCATCTGTCAAGGACGGCTCTGATTTCTGCCACACTGCCTGAGTGTGTATGCATATGTATGATTGATATGGGGCATAAAACTATGAAGACTACATAAAATTATCTTTTAGCTTTATTTTTGGTTTCAGCTCTTTTTCGGCGTGTATAGAAATATTTAAATTATTTCGAAAAACCGTGGAGAATGATGTTATCGGTAAATATTCTCTTTTCGGTAAAAATACCGAAAAATCCGGTTCAAGTCCATGCATAGACAATCTGAAATTTGCAATATGAATTTATATTTTAAACTCTATGCATTTCCGTTCATATTCGTCAATATTTCATTTGAAGCTTTTATATGTCATAAGATTTTAGCAAAATGTAAGATAGTAGAGGCAACACCGCACCCTGCAGCCCAGTTGACAAGAACGACAAGCTGTCTAGATTAGGGATGTTTAGATCCACGAAAAGTATCGATATGTATCGATACTTATCGTTTCAGGAGGTATGGATACTCTAAAATGTTGGAATAAAATTATCGATATCCAGCGGAAGGAAACAAAGAAGAAAAGTAATCTGAAGTTAGTCACTCTTTCTGACACAGTCCGGATCGAAAGATGACGATACTCGTGAAATGTATCGATACTTCTAAAAATAGGATCGTATCGAACATCGCTACTGTGAAGATGTATAACCCGGGATACCGATGAAGCTATTTTGCGGCGTCATGGAAATAATATTAAATTTTCATTTGCATTTTTTCAAGTGTTGTGCAACGATTTTGGGAAAACATCCACGTATAGACTTATAAAGCGTAGTAGAGTATATTTCAACAGTTGACGGAGCGTACCCCACTGGGACCAGGGTGGTGAAACGGGATATCAATGCACAATCTGGCAACCATGTCACACCGTCACAAAATGGCCGCTGACAACCACACAAGTCACCGTGTTGTCATTGAATAGCATGGAATTCAACCATCTTTAGTGTATATGTTTTGTGACTGGGACCAAGGGCTGACGGATCCCACACATGTGTCACTCGTTGGGGCGTTTTGAAATCTAATAATCAGCTGTTATTCAAATAATGTGTAATATAAATATAACCTAGAATGTGTACTCAGTGAAACAAGAAAGCTATTGCAAATTCTATCTTTTTGCAGGTTTTAAGTTTGCTGGTAGCTTTACGACACATTTTTGAGTATTTCTTAATCGCTGTAAATATAGTGTGGATGTTTGTTCAGTTCCTGAATAACCAAAAACCATTTGGTTTTAATGGTTTTGTGGGAATATCAATCGACGGTGCTGTAATGGTACTGATGAACGGCAAGTAAATGAATGAATATTTGGAAACGAGCAATATCTATGAAATTTTTGGTAGAGTCTGACATCAATTAGGTGCTTAATGGCTATCTGCAAGAGGTTTATAGGAAAAGAACTCACAGTAGGTGATGTTGAATCAGTAAAATCGCATATCAATTGAAGAAAATAATACAAACATGAATAAACTATCGACGATATTAAAAAAAAGAATTTTATTAAAAAATCGAACGCTATTTTAAAATTTGACTAAATCATATTTTAATTCCTTAATATTCATTAAGCAGGTGATGTTTCAACGACAAGTTGTCATCTCATAATTTGACAGTATTTTGTTTTCAACATTCCATAGCTATTGGTTGCTAAAATTTGTTAATTGAAACTTGAAGCTCATTCGTTGTATTTTTCATTTTTTAGCTCGATTTATCAATTAATTTCTTGCGGACATGTCATGATATTGCATTGTTATCGGTGCTTGATACAATCTACAAGAAGAAGCATTTCCCGGTTCTATTAACCTTAGGCAGTTCAAATTGTATTAATAAAATGTCTTTGGGATCATCATAGCAGCCGCGGTGTTCCGGCATTTAGGCTTCTGCCTGCGCGGCTGCTTCGATATAAAAAAAAAAACGTGTACGAAGTTTCAAATTAATCAAAATTCTGGAAATTGGTGAAAATTATGTTCAAAGAAGCTAATAAAAACGTGTAAAAAAAATAAAAACTTGCTAATAAAAGCGTGTTACAAATTAAAATTACCTGGAGTAAATAAGACAATAGCCTTCATACACCCGCATTCACTACCATCTGGGGAAATCTGTCGAAATCGGCACATTATTTCCTGAAACATGAATAAGATTACTTTTAATAAGTTTATCAACATTGGAACCTCATAGTTTTACATAAGAATTTTTCAGAATTCTTTTTTCAATAGTTTTTATGAATAAAAATCGACTTTTCTAACCTCGCGCACTTGAGCCGCGTACAGACCGAAAATTGGAATGAACTCGTCTACACCTAAATTTAGTTTCATTGGACGCGGCTTTAGAGACAAGGTTTGCCTTCTGATGTTCTCATTTTCGCTACTTTCACCTTGGAATCACCTTGTAGGACAAACTAAACGTCTAGCTCATAATCTACTTACTGCTTTGGATATACAGGGTGTCCGCAAAGTTGGGGTTTTCCTTTACACGACGTGTAGATCTTGAAAACATAAGCAATTTTTCTTAGTACCATATATACCAATGTCTTAAGGGAACCGAGATAAAGGGCTCTGCAACATCAAAAATATCTGAATACCGTCCTGTAGCCGCGACATCCCCGACTGGTATAAGGTCACTGGCTCAACCCGACGATTGAACTGGGTCGGGGTCAGTGGCTAGAGAAGTGCAAGTATCAAAAACTAAAGTGTGGCAAACGCTGCGTGAAGAGGGGCTGTATCCGTTTCACGTCCAACGTGTACAAGCCCTTCAACCTGACGATTTTCCAGCAAGAGTGCGGTTTTGTGAGTGGTTGTTGCATCAACATGACAATAATCCGGACTTTTTGAAGTGCATATTGGTGACAGACGAATCTACGTTCACGCGTAATGGGGTGAATAACTTTCGCAACACTCATGTTTGATCAGTAGAAAATCCGCACGCTGTGCGTCGGGCACATTTTCAACAAACATTTTCGGTGAATGTTTGGGCTGGCATGGTGAACGGCATGCTCATTGGACCATTTATTCTCCCAAATCGATTGGACGGGATGCAATACCTAGACTTTTTACGCAACATTTTGCCTTCCTTGTTTACCTGCGTCTGCTCGGTAGCGCATCAGCTGATTTCATTTTCTGTTGGAAAGGTATGATTTCGGGCAGAGACGTACTTAGCCCTTCTCGTCAACTGGAGAGTGAGTACTTTTTCCTTTATTTTTTTTACTTGTTCGCCCTCGTTTCACTACACATTACCTTTGTTCTTTCAAGGGTAGTTGTTTCTGAAAAGGAAAACCCCAACTTTGCGGTTTATATTTATCATTGTTCGATTTGAATATTTTTTTAAAGTCAAGGAGGATAGTGCTAAAGGTTTGACCGATCCGAGAAATTCTGCAGTACCTGAATGGTCTTGATCTCAGCAGCAGTATGAAGATCCGTGGGCAGCCTGTCCCTGGCTTGCTGACAGGTGAGCAACGTCGCCAAATCCCACGGCACCGACCATTGCGCCAAGTGTAGCAAGAATAATTCCTTCCAAGATTCTTGGAGCAGAAGCAGCTGATCTCGTTTGCTGAGCGTCTGGAACGGTGCCAAACATCGCACCCAACGTACCGCCATGAACAGAAGTCTCGCCGTAGTTTCCTAACCGAAAGTTTAGTAATGACTTGGCAAAATCATAAATGAAACAAAATGAAAATACTATCAGAGTTAGTATAAATGGTGCAATAATTGAAAATATTGAACCAATTAAATATTTGGCTCTATACACTTTTAAATATGCGCATATCATTACACACTGCATACAATGTGTAACAAAAGTTTGGAACGCATCGAACATCTAACCAACGACTCATTTTTAAAAAAATTGGTAGGTTTAGGTTCAAAACCATGTCGATGTCGCCAAATCTACAGTTTTTCAGAAACTTTTGTTTTTCTTATGGAATACTATGCATTTAATTCATTTGATATTATTCTGCGAAAAATTCTGAACACTTTTTATTAAACATACTTTGACATAGACCTCATAGTTTTCGGAATATTCGCTGTCAAACATTAATATTAAAACAATGAAAAGGTCTATCCTCTTGGTTTTAGTTAATTAAATCATATTTTTATCAACCCTACTAACAAAACTCAATGGTCTTTTCAGTTAGAAATGACAGGAAATTATTTTTCATACCGGACATTGCTTTGGTTGTTATTTCTAAAAATATGAGATGCACGTCAAAGTATGTTTGATGAAAAGTACTCAGAATTTATCGCAGAATACACATATCGAATGAAATGTATAGTATTCCATAAGGAAAACAAAAGTTGCTATCAGTTTATGAAAAGTGTAGATTTGACAACATCGCGGATATCATCAACGGATCCGTCGTAGTTCCTAACCTTAACCTACAAATTTCTGGAAAAATCACACGAATCATCCGTCTGTATATTGATAGTAAACTAACGTTCAACTATCTCGTTCACTGCTAATGAAGCAGTATTCTCAAATACGAAATAAATCAACATAAAACAGTCTCGACAAATAATATTATTTCCGGAAATAAAGACATGTATAGATGACTGGAGCGACTGGGCGTGTCTAGCAGCGAAAAGGGGCTGACTTTCCACATCAGAGACAGCCAGTAGCTGAAAAGTCACCCTCTAAATGCTGCGGTGGTCGCGGCAAAAAGTCAATACGGCCTATGCTCCTCCCACGATTTTCACTCGTTCCCGTTGGCTTTTCGCCAAGTTCCCGCGTTAAAATCACGACGAAAAGACGCTATCGTGGAGATATCGTCGGTTACAGTGTTTGATTTTTCGCGAACTAGGATAAAAAATGCTTTTTTTGTAGTGTGGTTTGAAAGGGCTGTTGAAGGACGTTCATAAAAGCAGTTAAAACAACTCGGAATGGAGACTTTGGAGGTAAAATACTGAAACGTGCGAATGAGATGTATTTCTTATTCAACCAGCCACTACACTATTTAAAGTCTTATTTAGGATGGTTATAGTTTCTTACTTGCAACATTTCCCAGGTAGGTGTCAAAGGTAAAGGTGCTAAGGGAGGACTCGTAGCTGACGGTAGGCCAGTCGTATTTGAAACGTAGCTTGATGAGCTTCCGTCACTTGCAGCTGATTCTGCTTGCGATAGCTTCGTGCCCCATACTAGTTCCTGTAACGCGTCGTAAAGATGAAATTAACAAATCAGTGACCTAGAGGTGAAGGGTCGTTGACCGCAGATTTCGAGGTTCACTGGTCGCGAGGCTAAATTTCATTTATCCCAAGGTCAAAGATCGCTGGTTTGAATATCATTCATTGTCAATAACACGCTGAACTTTCAGGTTCAAGTCGGTTCATAAGTTCTACTCTAGATCAGTCGTATTTATAGAATACTTTTTTGGGTTAGACATAGACTGAAATACGAAATCATTAGCTTTTTAGACTTACATCTACTTCTGCATTTGTGTTAAATGCGCTGAAAATGTGCACGTACACATTCACCATTTTTAACAAAAAAATTTAAAATATGGTGAATGTGTAAGCACACATTCACCATTTCTAACAAAAAATTTTAAAATATGGTGAATGTGTGCGCACATATTCACCATTTTTAACAAAAATTTTAAAATATGGTGGGCGTGTCAATATCGAATATTTATGTAAAATGTGAACACCAATAAAAAAAAATTGGCTGTCGAGAATATTTGACACACAATTGAAAAATCAAATAAATCTTGTAAAAGTTCATTTCAGATATATGTTAGCGGAGAGTGTACGAGCCCCTTCCCACTTCAGTTGGCCCACTTCAAGATTTGTACCAAAATATGCCTTTATAAACTAAACATGATGAAACTATTTACTTCTAAAACAATTTATTTTCTCAAAACATTTTAGATACACTCTAGTCGTAAAAAATACATATTTGAAATCACCATAGACAGTGTGCAGATAAATGCGCGAAATCAACAAAGCAACAATTGAAAGATTACCATTGGTAACATCACCTTTATTTTTTATTACGGCTGAAATTCTTTGGGGCATAGTGTTAACTAAGTTTTGGCAAAAATTTAGTGTAAAACAATCCCATATTTCTTGAAGCTTTTGTCTCAGTTCGGTGATTGTATGAGCAGGATGTTGTCGTAGAACCTTTTTCATCTCGCGGCACAAAGTTTCAATAGGTGACAGATCTGGACTGCTAGAAACCCATTTCAAAAATTGTACTATATTTTCTTCCATCCATTTTATAGCCTTTTTGAGGTATGACACGCTGCACCATTCTTCTTAATGCTCTTCGGTCGACATTTGCGATATTACTTCTTTTTCACATATCGTGGCTTAATATTAACTGAACCAGTTACGTTATATCTTCTAACAATATTTCTCACACTGTACCGCGATAAGTCTAACAAAGTTGCAATTTCTGAGTTTGATTTCCCAGAATTAAAAAATTTAATTATTATATATATATATATACAATACATGTTCAGGATGGTGCTGTACTGCATTTTGTGTGAGCCAGTGTTTATTTTTTAAATTGTGCAATTCGACGAAGTGTGTTATAAATCTAGCTGATAGAAATTCTTATTTCGAAGAAAAGACGTTTATACCTATTAATCCATACTGCTTAGGTAAGCGATTATTACCTTTTAACAGGTTTTCTCGTTTGATTTTTTTACAATAAGCATGAACCTTTGACGAATACCAGATAAATATTGGTAGAAAGTAATTAACAATTCAACAGCTGAATGTGCTCATATAAAATATGTACGCACATTCACCACAATTTATATTATGAATTATGTTTGCACATTCACCACAATGTATATTACGAATTATGTTTGCACATTCACCACAATTTATATTATGAATTATGTTTGCACATTCGCCATTTCCGGAAAAAAAATTAACTATGCACATTCACCATATTTTACAATCAACCGATCAATCTGGAATGTGTATACACTTTCACCAATTTTAAAAATAGTTATTGCTCACCTGACACTTCTCGGCCGACATCAAAACATGCAGCAGCCCCGGCGGGGGTGCCGGAGGATGTGGCGGAGAGAACATCGGAGGCAGAGGGAGGCCGTTGTCCATCCTCGGAGGGCTTCCTCCCAAGGAGGGAGGCGGCGGAGGTAGACCTAGAGCCTTCAAAGGGGGAGGTGCGAAAATACCTCCAAAATGCGGAAACGGATGCGCTGGAGGTTGTCCTTGATGGTGCAGATGGTGATGGTGATGAGACGCGAGCAGTTTGGATTCGGAGGAGGTCGACGTTGAGGAGGGCTGCAGTTTCGGCTTCCTGGGGCCACGCTCGTGCTGGACAGCTGCAAAAGACATGAAAATAAAGATGAAGAAAGCATTAGAGGATCCACAGGTGGCATTCACGACGTCATCGCGAATATTTGACGCGTGCTGAGATGAATCTGCTGCCATCTAGATTACTTCCATGGACGTTCGTGATGGGAAAACGCTAGAACGTATCTCGACTCGTCGCTAGGAGCATAAATACCCGAACAGAGGTCAGTCACAGTGGAGACAGCCAACGTCGCGGAAATATGATAACATGTCTAGTCGACATATTTACGAATTTGTTATAAATGAATTGCAAGTGTTATGAATTACTGCTAAAGTAATAAATTAGTCTATGGACAATAAAAACGGTGTTTTTCTCACAATACAGATGCAACAAAATGATGACATCTTCAAACAAACAGCTACTAATCTAACGATCAAGCGACGGCCTCCTTTGATGACGGCATCTTAAAGTTGACAAACGTTTAAATGTTTATGCTAACTGTAACAAAGAAAAAAATGTTCATATCTTAGTTGATAAATAAAGTTTCTCGGACTCCATTACAAATCGATTCTCAGTTAAAAAATGACCGACGTAGACGTATCGATGCATCACCTACAATACAATTCCTCCCTACGTACCGCATCAAATTCCCCCTGTCCCCCCTGTTTCCCGTTTGCTGTGTCGACTGCCTCCGGGTGACAGAATGACATGACACTATCGGATGAGGGGATTACCGGCAGCTTAGCGATGTGCCGGGCTGCAGGCTCGACATCATAGCGACACGACACGTTCTATGTTCACCATTCGGCCCCAGTAATCACGCATGATATCTCGCATCTGTGCATTCTCTCACCGTACGGGATTCGAATATGGATGCCGTTGCTATCACCCCCGAATTTGAATCATCCCTCTACCGAAACCGTGCATCCTAGCATAATATGAAGGGTCATAAGGCGTCTAAGTCACATTTAAATGAGAACACACATTGCCATCTAAAACATCCGTGGCGCATGTACCAATGTCGGAAGTTGATTTTTTACAATGCGTGGATAGACGTAATTTCTGAATGAGGTTCTTTAAGAAACACGATATCCCGCACATTATTAAGCCAAGAAAGCTATAAGAAACGTAAGTCCCAAGAAACAGTTGATGGAGAAAGCAATGGACGCTTCGTTGATACAAAGATGATTCTTGATTTAGTTTTGATGGTGACTGAGAGCGAGTAATTCAGGCTGATAAATACATTTGAGACTTTACTGCCGTTATACAGGGTGTTCCTTAATTATATGTGAATCTGCATGACATATTCCAGCGCAGCTAGATATTTATTGCTAAA